TCGTCATCCCAAACCAAACAATCTAAATTATCGGACGAAAAGCGTTTTGAAGTTATTTTTCACCATAAAAATGACAAATCATCATATACCGGGCATCCTACAGCGATTGCCGCTTCCCGCATTTCAGCCTCCATCTTTTCCTATCTCTCCAATCTCCCTCTTCTAAGCCTCTAGATTGCATTGTTTTTGTAATTTCTCTTTTCCAGGAATTTGGTGGTCTTCCCCTTTTCCTTCTTTCTGGCGGAACATACATTAAGACTTTCTTTGGCCACCGCTCCTCCTCCATTCTCATCACGTGACCATACCATTGTAATTGCCTTCCTTGTATTCTATCTGAAAGAGTATCTCTAATTCCTGTACGGTTTCGTATTTTCTCACTCCTGATTCTTTCCATTCTCGATACTCGACATGACCTTCTAAGATAATCCATTTTCACAACGTCTACTTTATCTCATTCATTCTTTGTCATCGTCCAACATTCGGCACCATATGTGGTAATTGGTTCTACAATTGCTCTGTATACGCGAAGTTTGGTATGCATCTTTATTTTATTAGACCACAGTAATGAATTCAGTATTCGGATGCATTTTTTCCCTTGGGTTATTCGGTTTTATACATCTATCTTAACTCTGCCATCTGCTGATATGATGCTTCCTAGGTATTTATACTGGTTGCAACCTTTTATGACTACATTTTCAAGCCTCAGATCTGTGCTATTTCCTCAAATTTTTAAATATTCTTTGTTGCTTATGTTTACAGTAGACCCCCATTTGGAATATTCCTCAAATAATTTTCAATTCATATAATTTATGTCTTCCTCATCGATTGCAACCACCACCTGATCATCTGCAAACAACAATGTATACAGAGTTTCTTGTCCCACTTCGATGCCCATAAATCTACATTTATTTCTCCAATTCCTCAATGCTTCTTGGACGTATATTTTAAAGAGTGTCGGTGACAAACAGCATCCTTGCTTTAGGCCTTTAGTGGCGCCAAACGTCGAATCGAATCCGGACCTTTCGAGGACCTCAAACATTTTCTTTAACGGGACACTATCATATGCTTTCTCAAGGTCTATAAATACCAAATGGGTCTCTCTACTTCTTTCGACACGCTTTTCAATTATTTGTCGTAGGATAAACATATTATCAAGGCAGGATCTCCCGGTTCGAAAGCCGCTTTGTTCTTCAATATCTTGTATCTGTCTTTCAACCCTCTTCTTTAATATTCTGCCGTACAACCGGCCCACAGAGCTCGTCACACTAATACCTCTATAATTGGAACAGTCTCTTTTATTCCCTCTCTTATATATGGAGCTTATATAAGATTTATTCCAATCTTTAGGAATTTCCTGGTCTCCACACATACATTTATTAAAAAGGTCTACTATTAATTCTAAAAGTTCAGTCGGCCCATATTTAACCAGCTCTATGTGAATGTCTCCAGGCCCTGCGGCTTTTCCGTTTTTAACCTCTTTTAAGATTTCCGTCAATTCAGATAATGTTATTATAGGGATTTCCTGTCTTTCATCTCTATTATCTATTAATTCCCTTATCTTGTCCCATCTGTACTCTACTCCATCCTCTTTCAGCAGTTTCGTATAATATTCTTCTCATTCATTTAACTTTATGAAAGGAATGTTCTCTTCATTTTTCCTAAACTGCTTTAATGTTTTCCAAGCTTGTGCCACTTTTGTTCCACCCATAAATCTGTCTAGTTCATCATACTTAGCCTCCCAGCTTACATTTTTTGCCTTATCCACTTCTATTTTAACTTCTCTATTCCATTTGGCGTATATTTCTGTCTTGAGGATCTTTGGATTGAAGCCATATGTGATATGCTTGTTTTTTCTTGAGAACTTTCTCTTCTAGTTCCGTTGACAACCATTCAGGTTTTCCTTTTTTCCGATTTTCAACTTTTCTCAGTGCTTCATTTGCCGCTTAGTGAATATATTTTTTAATTACCGCATACAGACTTTCAGGGTCTAAGTCCTTTGTTTATATTTTTTATTTTTTGAGCTATTCTAAAAACGACAAATCTAGTCCCGAAATAGCATCCACAGTAAACTGTAATCAATCTACAGTAATTAGAGTCATTAAGAAGTATGCTGAACAAAGAAAAATCGACGACAGACCGCGTAGTAGCCGACTAAAGAAAACTTCTGTTCGGGATGAAGCTGCGTTACGAAGAACAAGTCTGGCAAGCCTTAATTTGGACTTAAAGAACGTAAGGCACGGAAGAAACCACTGCTTTCAGAAAAGCAAAGATTGCAGCGTTTGTAATGGGCCAAGGAACATCGAATTTGAACAGCAGAGCAGTGGCAGAGTGTACTGTTTAGTGATGAATCCACTTTCAATATTAATAATCATGCTGAAAATGCCTACGTCAGAACATTTCCTGGTGAAGAATTTTCTCCAAAATGTGTTCTCACAATTAAACACCCAGCCTCTGTTATGATATGGGGTTGCGTGTCCCCTACACATAGTTGGTCACCTACACGTTGTCTCTGGGATGATAAATGCTACCAAATACATTGAGGTACTACAGAATAGGATGCTGCGTAGTGGAAAAGACCTGTTTGGAAAAGAAACTGAAAGAAACCACAGGAAATATTCGGAAGAGAATACCACAAGTTATACGAAACTCCAAGGGGGATCTCCAATTATCAGCAGTAGAAAAACAACAAACTTGGGAGAAATACATCAAGGACTTATTCGCAGATAATAGGGAAGAAATAAATGATCCATTACCAACTAATGAAAATCTAAAAATTCTGATATCAGAGGTTAACCAGGCAATTAAAATCTCAAAAAGTGGTAAAGCGCCAGATCCCGATGAAATTCCTGTAGAGATATTAAAAATCCTGATTGATGAAAATATAGAGTATCTAACTAAATTATTTAATAAAATATACCACGATGGTCAAATCCCGGATGAATGGTTAAAATCTATCTTTTTACCCTTACCCAAGAAAAATAATCCTAAATCTTGCGATGAGTACCGATTAATTAGCCTTATGAGCCACACTTTAAAAATACTACTCAAAGTTATTCAGCAGCGTATATATAAAAAATGTGAAGAACAATTAGACAATACACAGTTTGGATTTAGTTGTGGAGTGGGAACAAGAGAGGCAATGTGCGCAATGACGGTACTATTACAAAAATGCAGGGAATATAATAAAAACGTATTCATATGTTATATAGATTTCCAAAAAGCTTTTGATAGAGTCCAACATGGTAAACTCATACATGCATTGAAACACATACACCTAGATCCCAAGGATATTAATTTAATCAAAAATCTGTACTACAATCAAACAGCGGTCGTACTGGTGGAAGATAGTGAGACAAACCAGGTGGAAATTCAAAGAGGAGTCAGACAGGGATGTGTGCTGTCGCCACAATTATTTAATATCTACTCTCAACTAATATTTCAGGAGGCACTATGGGAAAGAACTGAAGGTGTAAGGATTGGAGGGAGCATCATTAATAAGATTTGCAGACGATACCGCAATCATGGCAGAGAATATAGACGATTTACAAACTCTCCTGGAAATCATTAACAGAGAAAGCAAAAAGATGGGACTAACAATGAATATAAATAAAACCAAATACATGGTGATCTCAAAAAACCCTGTTGACAACATACAACTGACATTGGAGGGTAAAAACCTAGAGAGAGTCGACAAATACAAATACCTCAGAGCAATTATAAACTCACAGTTAGATCAAGAGCAGGAGATAAAGGTCAGAATAGAAATAGCTCGAAAAGCCTTTATAAAATACAAGTCAATATTTACAAATAAGAAATTGAGTATGGCCATCAGATTGAGGTTCGTCGAATGTTATGTTTGGTCGCAACTACTATATGGGGTAGAAGCTTGGACTCTGAAAGCCCAATCTATAAAAAAATTGGAGGCATTCGAAATGTGGCGTATTTTGAAGATTCCTTGGACTGCAAAAGTCTCAAATGAGGAAGTGTTAAGACGAGTTGGACATGGCAGAAAGCTTATGAACACAATTAAAATAAAAAAAAACATCGTATCTGGGCCACATACTCCGAAACGATAAATACTCTCTGCTACAAGTCATCATACAAGGTAGAGTAGAGGGAAGAAAAGGCTTGGGAATATCAGAGATTGGACTAACCTCAGTGTTGTACAGATATTTCACGTTGCAAAAGATCGAGAAGCGTTTAAAGAAGTGATCGCCAACCTTCGTTAGAAGACGGCACAAGAAGAAGAAGAAGAAACACCATTTGTTTAGTCTAAATACGGACCTGTTACGCTATAGGTTTTGGTGTTGCATTGATGACTAAAACTGAGGTTGATAAATGGCTGGTATAATTTATTTATTTTATTTCTGAGATAATATAATTATTGATTACTTTATTATTAATAAAATATGCAGTCATAGATTCTCATTTTTCTATGCACAATGAACTAACACAGCAAGTTATCGTTATATAAAAATAAATTGTTTTTATTGATTATTGTTACTCAAAAATAATAAATGAATAATTTGTCAGAATCAATCTATAATAATAGCGTGTTTTCTAATTTGATATCGGTGCCGGACTCTCCAATAACATCTGGACAAGTTTAAGATCTATTCTGTGATCAATTTAACACGATTATTTCTTATTTCAACAAATTTCTTTGAATTGAATTTTAAATTTGTTCCAAAATTCGATCGTTCCAATCGATAGTTGATAAATAAATTCCTGTTTAATTATAATTTACGTAAAAGTTATAAATATTTTATGGTTTTCAAAAGTTTATCCCTTCTTCATGAATATTAAAACAACGGGTTCCATGGAAGACTTTGTGAATCATAGAACCCTGTAAAACAAAAACCCGTCTACGTTTCACGTTCACAAAAACGCTCAGATGAAACATTTTTCAGTCGGGGAACCAAGAGAGGGCGGTACCCAGAAACCGACCATTAGCGAACCTTACTAAAAAGGTCAAGCAGTTCATCAGATTTGTTAAACGTTCGCTGTCTACGGTGCTGCCTCTAGTGAGCAATTCAGAAAGGAATACGACACAAAAGTAGTGGGAAAGTTTACCTGCCTGTGTGTAAGTGGTACAGGTAAAACTCCTAACCATTATTGGTGAACGAAGTGATTAAGTAGTACCTTTTAGTGATTAAAGTTTTGTTAGGGATTGTAAATTAAGGTAAGTTTCAAGTGTTATTTTATTGATATTTATTAGGTACACCCTTTGGTTTAATTATTTACTTTTATACGTTTTATAGTGCTTAGTTGTATTAATGCGCAACAGGTAGTCAAGGTTGGGTGGACATATTTTTTTTAAACTAAAGTCATTCTTTTGTAAGCTGATGTTTATCTTTTCTTTATCTTTAAGCAGCTTACTTTTAATCGTGAAAATATCGGTTTGAGTTCTCTAATGTTATCTACCTTTGTTATCTATCTTACACATGAGTACGGTTTTCAATGAATTATGTACCCCTTGATAAGCACAAAATTGGTCAGAATTTTATAAATTAAATGTTCAACTCACTATTTTTTTTTATTTTAACACTTTGCTTCGCAATATTTATTGCCTAAAATACAACAAATGGTTGTACCTAAGGATCACATGATCACGTGTTGTAGATATGAAGTAAATAGGTTGTTACCCTTTAAAGTTCACCTTTATCTTTATTGCGAGTGAGATTGTTACGCCTAAAGCTGGATTTATAGTTTGACGGACTGTAGACGCAGACGCACTGGAAAAAGATCAACATAGACTTTTGTGTACTCCTATTTATAAATGAACGTAAACGCAAGACGGGACGTAAGCGAAACGCACTGTAACGGAAGAGTTGGTCAACTTTCAACTTTTACAGTGCGTTTCTTACGTCTGACCAATCAAAAGAAAGAATGGGTTATGTTCATTGCACCAATATTGAAATATGCCAAAAATTGATCTGGATCTTCTGTCTTCATCTTTAAAAAATAATTATAAGCATTTTCTATTTTTCTATTACGGTTTATTGGTCTTGTTTTATAACGTCTTGGTCGCCTTATTATTGTCCTTCTAGTTTTTTGCAATGCTACTGCACACAGCACAGCAGCAATCCTACAGCGCCAAGGAGCATACCTTCGTATATTTCACAATCCATTCTAACACGCAAAAAGGATAAAAAAAATATTATAATAAACAATAGTATAAACACACACCCTTTGTTTATTATGAATTCTGATTCCTATAATTGTATAATTTATAGGTTATATTGAATGTTGTTGGTCACCAATTCTTGTCTTTACTCATGCGCAAAAATTCCACTACGTCCATTTATAAATTGAAAAAATATTTACAGTCCGTTTCTTACGTCTCCAGTGCGTCTACGTCTACAGTACGTCAAACTATAAATCCAGCTTAACTACCAAAAAATCCGCTGCTGGGTATTCCTAGAAAAATGACAACAGTTCCAAAGTGACCCCAATAAACTGTTTCATTGAATGATGCAAAAAGTTTATTGTTTCTAGTCAGCTCACTTTCTATCACCTGGTCTTCTAGTCACTTTCATTAGTTTTTTATTTTTATAATTTAAACATTTGCATTAAATTCGAGTACTTATTTTTTTAACTGAGACGATATATCCGAAGATTAGTAAAAATGTCAATGTTACAAAAACTTTCTATATCTATAGCCTTGTTTTTTAGGATTCATCACTTTTTAGAATAATAGTTGCATAATAAAAGTAAAATACATATTTCTAAGCTATAATAGTAATAGTAGTAGTACCTGGTATTAATTACTTAATAGCAACTTAAAAGTTTTGATGTGTACTTGTCGCAATAAAACATTTTTCTGTTTAATTCAATCCTTCATTAATTATTTATCTTTCGTCCTCAGTCTAAAACAATAGCCCATATATTTAATAACCTTTTGACTCCGTGACCAAGAACACGCGTGGTGCCGACTTCTCTTTGTTCTTTGCTTCTTCCTGTCGGTAACTGTAATTATGTAGAATGTTGTAAAGTACTAGCAAAACAATTGCCGTTGCACGTCATATGTTAATTGACGTCAATAACGTCAATAGGTAAATGCTACCTTCTTCTTCTTCAGGTTCCTTTTCCTACCGGAGGTTGGAAATCATCATCGCTATTTTAATTTTATTGGTTGCGCTTCTGAATAATTCTAATGAGCTGCAACCGAACCGCTCTCTCAAATGTCCTAGCCAGGATATTTTGGTATTCCCAAAATGTATCAACACTTCCCTTGTATCTTCCCTTGCATAATTAACCTAATAAGTAATACCTCAATATGTGAGCCAGATATTGAATCTTTCTAATTTTAACAGTTTTTATGACTTCACATTCTTTCTTCACTCTTTGTAACACCTCTATATTAGTTACTTTTTCAGTCCACGTTATTCTGTGGATTCTCCTGTAGCACCACATCTCAAAGCCGTTTAGTTTTTTTATTTCAGACTGTTTTATTGTCCACGCTTCTATGCCGTATAGTAAAGCAGAAAAAACGTAATAACGTAGCATTCTTGTGCCGATCTCTAGATTAAGGTTACGTTTGCAAAGTAAGTTCTTCAATTTTATGAACGTGTTTCTTGTCATTTCTACTCTAGATCTGATTTCTTTTGTTTGATCTCCATTCTCGGTTAGCCACGTTCCTAAATATTTATATGTTGTTTCTATTTCGATCGTTGTATTATTGATGATCGGGTTATCTAGATTTTGTGTTTTTTTTTTGAGAATATCATTGATTTCGTTTTCTTGAGATTCATTTGCAGTCCATACCTTCCGCATGCATTGTATACATGTTGTATTATGTACTGTAGATCTTCCATGTCACTTGCAAATATGACCGTATCGTCCGCATATCTAATATTATTAATGCTATTTCGTTGAATAAGAGTGGTGAAAGTATGCACCCTTGTCGAACTCCTCTTAGTATACTTACCTCCTCTGCCAGTTGTCCTTCGACTCTTATTCTTGCTTTCTGATTTCGATACAGATTCGATATAATATGTAGATCTCTACTATCTATGTTTTTGGTCTTAAGAATACTTAAAAGCTTTTCATGTTGAACTCTGTCAAAAGCTTTTTTAAAATCTATGAAGCAAGCATAATGTCCTGATTCATATCCTGACATCGTTGTGTCAGAAAATTGACTTCGAATAATGCTTCTCTAGTTCCTAGACCCTTTCTAAAACCCATCTGTGAATCACTTATTTCTTGTTCTAATATCATGTGGAATCTGTTATGTATGATTTTTAGGAAGGTTTTCAATGTGTGACTCATTAATGCAGTTGTCCGGTAGACATTGCAATCTTTAGCATTTGTGATTTTCGGAATTGATATAAAAGTTGAGAGAAGCCATTCATTGGGTATGTGTGTCGTCTTGTATATGGAGTTAAAAATGTCTACCAAGACATCAAGATTATCTTCATCAATTGAATACCTCCATCTAAAAAGGTTGCAAACAGCAAAATCACTTTTTTACAGGAAGTGAAGAAAACAATAGAAACTTTCCCTGTTACAATAAAAATATGTTTATATGATGCTTACACATTATTGTTAAAGATTGCTATAATTTTTTTTTATTTTTAAAATGTACTTTAATACTATTAGACAGAATAAATTTTTTCAATCTAAAAACGTTACACATGCCCATATGTAACGTTTTTACATTCAATCTAACTAATATTAATTATGTACTTGAAACGTTTTACAACAAAACGCAGTTTAGATTAAAGGAGTATTACAGGAAAATAAATGCACGGTAAAATGTAATATTAAACAAATAGTTTATTAATATAAACAATACAAAAAATGTATGATTTTATTTTATTTTCAAGTTTTAAGTGTTTATCCTACATAACATTTGGATCTGCACTATCTAACGATTGATAAAAAGTTCTTTTATATGGAGGTAAGTAATCTATAAGCTTTAAAAGATCAGCCATTTTTGAGGCATTAATAGGTAGTTTATTAGAATAAAGGATTGGCAGATCGATAGGGTCAACTATGTTGTACACAGGTAATGAGGCAGTTTGGGATCTCTTTCCTTTGGGTTTCTTTATTATATTATAAACCATCCAGTTCTGCATTGGATTGTGGCATGTTCTTATACGAATGGCAGTTGGTTCGTCGTAAGTAAACTGGATCCATCTTGCTTCAGTAATTTTGATATCGGGATGTTTATAGATCTGCAGTTCAATCGACGACATATCCAAAAATTGTCCATCCATTTCCAAAATATCAAATGGATTCGATTCTCTTATATTCCTAATCATATTTACAACATCTTGAGGATCATGAAGGGTTGCCGTTTTCTTAAACTTTTCAATAATGCCGAAATCGCGGTCACATGGAAGAAAACTGTGTCCTGTGACTAGAAATTTCTGATTGACCTCTGTGAAATAACGCAATGAAACTAGGTAATGATACAAAGCTGCCATCCGCCAATTATTGTTCTGTCCTACACACCTATCAGACCATACTATAAGTTTTCTCTCCTGATGTAGACCCAGGATTTCAAAATTATTTTGAATGTAGCGAAATAGTGCGGAGGAAATTTCCCCTGATCCCCGTTTTCCTACACTTTCATGCCAAACACACATTGTTGCTCTATTCTTCCCCATATTATGAATACAAAAGTTATAATTAGAATATTGTCTCAAGTAATAGACATCTGAATGGCTTAGATTAGGAGTAAAAGGACCTGTTGCAAATCAACGCAGAGAACAACCAAATTTTCATTTTCAATAGCTGCCTGTGTATCTTCTACCAACGTTTTATAAACCTTTTCTGCTTTTCTGTGGTGCAGTTCTGACTGAAATTGTAGCTGCTTTAACTCTTCATTATTCTGGCTTGCAACCATTTGTATATAAAATTTGTCACAAACTTTACATGTATCAGATCTGGGAACACCAAATCTTAAGCTAATTTGTCGTGAAAAATTGACCTATACAAGTGTAATTTCACCCTTGTGGTAGGATACTTATTTCTAAATAATTGGTACATTCTAGTTATGGATAGGTCTGGAGCAAGACATTTCTTTTTATTTGAGTTTCTCGAATAATGGTTTTCTTGGCAAGGAAAAGAAGAAATATGCGTAATGACAAGCTCTTGATCTGCATCAGGAATACTTCGTGGTCTATTGTTATGTTTACCACGACCATCGTCGATGCTGAGACCTTGCTTAACTTT